GCAGTTGTACTTCGCAGCACTTCACATGCAATTTGCAATTTCTAGTTTACTTTTTATTCTACAAGCATGCTCTTGGAGTACCTAAGATTCTGCTAGGAAATCTTATTTTTATTAACTTTTTATTCTATAACCATGCTCACGTGGGCCTAGTATCTAAGATTCTGCTGGGAAATCTTACTTTTTATGTACTTTTTATTCTCTAAGCATGCTCATGTAGGCCTAGTACCTAAGATTATACTGGGAAATCTTTATTTACTTTTTATTCTACAAGCATGCTCCTGGAGTACCCAAGATTCTGCTGGGAAATCGTCTTCACCTTGCATTCAAGCGTCAGGTCACCACCATTGATGCTCAACTGTACGCCTTGAAGAATGGCATGGCCTTCTTTGAAGTCAGTTCCTTATGCGACTTCAACATCTTAGAATCCATGACAGAACTAGCTAGAGTTGTCCTGAAACGAAATGGAATGGAACGAGTCTGGAGGACAAATAAAGGTAATATAAAATATGAACCTTAAATTCAATTTATTCATAATTATTTGTAGAAACAATTTCTGCAAATACCAATACCCTTAAATTCACTTATTGGATATATTCAAATCTGGTTCGTTTTATCACAACTTGATGGATATTAAAATCTGGTTTGTGTTATCCGAATTTGATAGATATTGTAATCTGGTTTGTGTTATCACAACTTTATGGATATATTCAAATTTGGTTTGTGTCATCACAATTTGATGGATATTAAAATTTGGTTTGTGTTATCACAACTTGATGGACATTAAAATCTGGTTTGTGTTATCACAACTTTATGGGAGATTAAAATCTGGTTTGTGTTATCACAACTTCTTGATGGATATGGTTTGTGTCATCACAACTGGAGGGATATTCATATTTGGTTTGTGTTGTCACAGCTTGATGGATATTACAATCTGGTTTGTGTCATCACTACTTGATGGATATTACAATCTGGTTTGTGTTATTACAACTTGGATATGTCACATATGTGTATTACAATCTGCTAGGTGTACTACAACTTGAGTATTGTAATCTGGTTGGTGTACCACAACTTGATGGGTATAACAATTTGCTATGTGTACTAAAACTTGATGGGTATAACAATCTGTTAGGTCTACCAAATCCTGATGGGTATTGTAATCTGGTTGGCGTACCACAATTTGATGGATATAACAAATTGCTAGCTGCAATTTGCAAACTTGACAGTCTGTTAGGTGTACCAAAACCTGATGGGTATTACAATCTGTTTGGTGTACCACAGCTTGATGGGTATAGCAATCTTGTTGGTGTCCCACAACCTGATGGTTATTGCAAATTATTTTTTTTAATATTAATTTTTTATGTGATTTATTTGATAGATTATTTAACTCAATAGTTTATATTCCTCTTTTTATTTTCAGTTTTAAGTTTACAAGACTTCTGTTGTCGTGTGATAGTAAATTGCACAAGTACGTACGCCATGGAGAAGCTGCCTCTACCACCAACACTTCGATCACGTCTCAAATCTTTTGCAGATGCCAACCACATGCATCGATATATGTTACCACAAACAGATTTAAGATCTAAAAAGAGGCGCACAATCCTCAATCCTTCCGACCCACCGTTTTCACAAAGGAAGAGCTGTATTATATCATGATTGAATTCTCCTCTAATAAGCATGTAAATAGTTCATCTATGAAACAACCAGATTTGTGAAGATGCAAATATTGAAATGAGTTTGGATATTTTGGTTGTGAGAAGGTGTGCTTCCTACTGAGTCAGATGATAGGCAGTCAACAAGGCTTGCTTGATGGTAGTCTGGCAAGAGAATAGGTATTACTAATTATAACAGTCACTCTATAAACAAAGAAAAAGCCTATGATTTTGTATTAGATTGATGTTTCATATTGTAACCGTTTGAACAGGTAATTGTGACTGGTGAAGGTGTTTGTCATGTTTGTAGATTACCCAGTTTAAGGGACAAATGAATGCCTTGAAGTTGACTTATTGGTGCCATAGATACAGACTGTTGGTATTGTATACTTTTTTATGATGTCATCTATAGACTTGAAGCAAAGTGGCTCACATCAATAGGCTTTTTCATATTTTAATGATATACATACATAACATACATATGGATTTATGTATAGGGGGTGGATAATAACACCCACTGGGTGGGAGTGTGGTTTGGGAGTGGGGGAGGCTTCCCCTTCCATTTGAGATGCTTTTGGAATTAGTAGATGGCTAGACGCTCTTAGATGGCATCTGAAACGAAGTTATGTTTTATCAGAGTAGCCTACACTACAGGATAAGCACACCCACAAGAGGAGTGACCATTTTTAGTTCCTATGCATGTAATGCAATAGGAACTATTGTAATCACTCTTGCTATTTCCTATGTTTTTTATTGTGTGTAGTGTGTATGTGTGTGTGTAGACATTTATGCAAATGCGCATGCGTCAAAGAAAAGTTTTCCGACGGACTGAATAAAACAACAGAGGTGAATCCACCTAAATTATATTTCAACTAAAAAAACAATTATCAGTGCACCTGGGTTACAGATTAATTTACACCAAGGGTCGCTTATTCAATTGTTGTGCTTAAGCAAAAGGGGGCACTTATATATTATTGGATAGAAACTTTTAAGATGAATTGATTCATAGGTACAATATTTCTGTGGGTTTTATTAACAAAGAGAAACATGTGTAAATATTATAACATGTGCCTATTTTCTAGTTTCATTCCTCATTGTCTCTTGTTTCTGATCCACTATTGATATCTCTAGTGGTAGTTCCGGGTAGCATGGAGAACGTGCCTACTGTTTTAACTACCAACATTACATCAAAGGAAGATGTACCCATCTATTTTGCCTACCAATATTTTCCAAAACTACATCCCTACTCACCCCGTTCTTCCTCACCCCATCTCCTGTTATCCCAGTCGTCTGATGCATACGTAACTAGATTTTTATAATTTTGTAAATGAAATAATTTTTAGTAGATGTTTTAGGCAAAATGGGGCGTTACAATAAAAAATAGTCATTTACCAATACGTGCATGTGCAGAAATTCATAAACATTCGATTAACTCAAATTTTGTATAGCTGTGTAATTCAAACGCACATGATTCTTGTCCTCTGCATATGATCCTTTGGTTCATGGTAAAGACAATATGGTCATTTTATTCATGGTCACATGATTCTTTGCTATATGTCACATGATTCATGTCTTATGCATGAGATCCTGTGGCTCATGGTGAAGACAATATGGCCATTTTATCCATGGTCACATGATTCTTGCTATATGTCACATGATTCCTGCATGATTATATGATTTATGTTTATATGATGCATGGTCACACAATCCATGCATTTCCTATGATTCATGAATGGTCACTTGATTCATGCATTTTCACATGATTTATGGTTTATGATGCATGTCACACAATTCATGCATTTCCCATGATTCATGAGTAATCACACGATTCATGCATGGTCACATGGTTTATGATGCATGTCACACGGATCATTGCAGGGTCACATGATGTGTGGTCATACATTCTAAATGCTTTTAAAAGCATTTTTCTGTTAAAGAATTAAATGTCTTGCTTAAAAGTGTATTAACAAATTGAATTAGTTAACTGTAAATATAATATATTCAATTGTAATTTTTGTATCTAATTATTTAAGTAAAGAATATTAACATACAGCAATTGTGTCATTACATTACAGACTTGTATTTGACTCGCTTTTGTTGTACAAACTTTACCTATAATGCTATTCAATTTCTCGAGGTACAGTAATTGCATTTCTTTACAAGAAAGGTGATGAAAGGTGTGTGATTAAGAAATGTTTATTGAACAGGAATGTGTATTCATTAAAAGAAGTATGTTCATGATACTCAAACCAGTATTCCTTATTAATACTACTTTTTTTTTTCAAAAGAAATGTGCGCAAGTAGTTATACAATTTTTTAAAAAGTAGGGTAAAGATTTAAATGGCATGTTGTTTTAAAATATGTAAGGCTAAGTGTCATTAAGAATTATTTTACTATCAGAATATCAGGGTACTTGTATTGGATTAATTGAGCTACTCACTCAGCATGTATCAGTTAAACAACACACTCAACATGTACCAGTTGAGCAACACACTCAAAATGTACCAGTTAAGCAGCACACACCATGTATCAGTTAAGTCTTAGAAACACACACAATGTGTTTCTGTTAGCAACTCGCTCAATGTGCTTCTGTTCAACATGTGTTTCTGTTAGCAAAACATTCAACGTGTTTCTGTTAGCAACACATTGAATGTGCTTCTGTTCGTAACATTCAATGTGTTTCTCTTATCAACACACAACATGTACATGTATTTTCAAAATATACATTGGTTAAATTATTGTACAAAAAATGAATGCAGCAATAAATATGCTGATGTCAATATTCAAAATTAACTTTACATTTGTTTTATTATTTTCACAAGTGAAGTTAGTTGTGTTTTTGGAAATCTTTTATTGCTGCTTTAAAAACATTGGTGTATAAAACAGATCAATCACAAATTAATACATTGCCATGTGACCAGTTTCCCTCCACCAGTACAATATTGGTATTACCATATTGAGCATATTTTGAGTTTAAAAGAAAGTATGGATAATAATTTATGAATTTAGATAAAAGATTTGCAATTGCCTAGTAAACTTAGCCAAATGATCAAACCAGGCTTGTTCATAATAGCTATAAACATCTATGCCAGTTATTATCTTGTATCTACAGTACTTAGCATTGTATTTTATTAAGATAATATCTCTGCATTGATGCAGTTACTGTGCTAACCTTACAAGGAATACAGTATACTCCCTATTAAGAGGACACCTTTAGGACCAAAAACTGTCCCTTTAAAAATAAGGGTGCATCCATGTTAAAAGATATGTTTTCCCTTGTTTTGTGGCTGAAAAAGTGTCCTCTTAATAGGAGTATCCCAAAGGAGGGGTTCTATTGCAGTTGCAGGTATTATTTTAAAGCATTTGTATGTGTATGCATAGGCAGTAGTTACTGATGAGAAGCAATGATTATGTTAAACTTAAGTTAAGAATGTGCAGAGAATGATACTTCAAACATTGAAGGTTATTAAATAAATAAGAGACAAACTCATTTTTAGTGTACAGTTTACATTGAGCTGATGTCCTTCTAATACATACTGTTGTGCAGATAAATTTGCTAAGCTGTGATGATAATAATGAACAGGATGATCAGGACTATGATGATGACGACAGGGGCGGATTGGGGGGGGGGGGGGGAAGGTTAAGAAAACAAAAAAAAAGAAAGAAAAAGATTTTTGATTTTTGGGAATCTATAAAACTAGGGTAGCATTGCCTTGATGGGGCCCAAGTTTTGATCCTCCTTTTCGACACCCATCCTTTCGGACAACTCTGAATCCTCCCCGGATGACAATGGCAATTGAAACAACTATCAAATATTATTACTACACATTATGCGAGTCTCTATTATAGAGGTTATATGCAGTACCAGAAGGTGATGGTGATGATCGTTCTTTTATTATAATTAATAATGAACACACAAAAAGTCCAGGAAAGTCATTTTTGAAGTTACGCCCCTCTGAAAATATAACTCCACCTCCTTGTGGCTTCTACACTTCACGTTGATTTTTTTTTTTCCATTTTGAAAAATATTTTGATTGGAAAAAGATTCAAATCTGAAAATTACAATTATGGTTACAGGTTAATGTAGGGCAGGCTTTTACACTATCTGCAATCGTAAACAATGTGTAATGTCCATTATTTAATTTCTGCCTTATTGTGAACCTTTTCTTCAATTTCTTTTTTTGTTCTAGTTTGCATAGGTGCCAGGTGCTTTCTTTTGTTAGCTATTCTTTGTTTCAGTTCAGTCCTTTAGTTGGTAGTGCATTAACACAAGTGCTAGTTAAAATTTTTAAAAAGCTCAACCTTGGTGAGTTACCAAAAAACACATGAAAATCACTTTCAAAAGACAAACTTAATGAAAAATCTAAAAACATGTTTGCCATAAATGTATGTTACAACAAAAACAAAGGTTCTAATTATTAAATACTTAAAAATATTTACAATATAAAGAGAAAAATGTTATCAAGATACAACAGTACAGTATCTATTATATTAAAAATTATCTTGTAAAGCTCTGATTTAAGATGTTTGTTGCACTGTGAGGAAAGAGTTTCTGTGAGTGATGTTTTACAGAATTGTTTTTCCTGTTTTGTTTTTTTTAGTTGTTTGCATCTGTTGTTTTTAAATAGTTATTGTTTCATTTTGAATTTTTTCCAAATTTAATGATTTCAGTAAATCTAATAATGATTTCAGTAAATCGAAAATTAATGGAACTCTAGACTAATCAACTTTGAAATAAAAGATTATTTTCAACTGCGCCTCATCGTGGCTTACGTCATCACTACCGTCGATGCTGATTGGCTTGGTCTATCTGCAGGCCCGTGCGACTATGTATACAAAAAAATGCGCCAAATGCGGGTGTGGTGTACCAAAAACAATGAGCTGCACTCTAGCGGATGACTGGCGCCCTGGACTGGCGCGATCTTGTAAGCGGGCTCTTACTAGGATCGGCACAGTACGGACTTGTTGATCGTTGCTTTTATTTTGCTACGTTTTACATTTAATAATGGACTTCGTCATAGGTCTAAGAAGAGATGAATTAGCATCTTCTCCGCTGAATTTATCATATAGGCCTAGACCTCCCAGAAGAAGAGGACAAATACAGGTGCGTTCATTAATCGTATCGTAGACTAGGACGCCACAATAAATAGGCCTAGGCCCTAGGCCATCACCCTAGCCTAGGTAATAGCAGGGTTGGGCCGCCTAGTCCAGAACAGTGGTTACATAGTAGGTTCTAGGCCTAGGAGGACTCGGAGGCCTAGGCCCCTACTTCTTCTTAGTTGATAGGCTCTAGGCCTACACTAGGCCCTAGGCCTAGGCCTACCTAATTAATAATTATTATTTTGTTTCTGTAAGTCTAAATTCTTAAATTTTTATATAAAGGTCTGGGGCGGTAATTGACATGGGATATGACCGGTTGAGCCGCCGGTAATTTCTATGGAACTCCCAAGACCAAGCGCGTCTCTCAGTGAATGTAGTCGGCTTGCCGATGTCATCAGTGAATGAACCCCCGGATACCAGCTACATATTCATTCCACAGTCTTGTCAGTCGTTGATTTGCTCGTATTGCCATTCGTGATGTATAATTGTGTAATTGAAAATTAGAATTTTAATATATTTATGTACTACATTTTTATAAAAATATATGAAGTTGTATAATTGCAAAATTGTATTAAAAATGTAATTTTA